ATACCAAAAGCAGCACAGAACTCAATAAGCAGCTTAAGCGAGAACTGGAGGCGTGCCAACGAGGTCGCGAACAAAGTAAGGTCGTCTGCATAGAACAACAGAGGCAACCGACGATCATTAATGACAGGACATTCGTGTGCACGTGTGTTGAACCATTCGTCCATACCATCCCTCGCTTCAAGGTAGTCGGCAATAACCTCAATGAAGAACCCGAACAAATTGGGACTCATGGGACACCCCTGCTTCACGCCCTGCAGAGAGGCAAAGATGGACCCTAGGCGACCGTTAACCTTGACCCGTTGGAGAACACGTTCATAGCTGGCTTTAAGGGCCGCCAACATGGGTCCATGCACACCCCTCTCCTCAAGACGCTGCCACAGGCTTGCCCGGGGCACTCTATCAAAGGCTTTCTCAAAATCCACCTGACACGCATACAGGGCCTGATTGCTGCCGGGCCGCTCATAACGACTTTTAAGATGACGAACAACGAACAACTGATGAACTGTACTGCGCTTTTGACGGGACCCAGCCTGAAAACGGCACCGGACACCATCTTCATCCCCGAAAGCTGCCAGCCGCCTGTCGAGAACCGTGGCATAGCATTTGGCAATGGCGCATCCCACAGCTAGACCCCTGTAGTTGTCCTTGACCCTGGGGTCGCCTTTCTTAAACAACGGACTGAGAGACGCCACGCAAAACTGGTCAGGCACATCCCCTGTATCCCAAACGTGCTGGAAAAGGTCTCGAATCGCAGGGGCAATAACATTGACAGACACCCTGTCCTCGTCACCTTCACGAGGGATTCGCTTGGCATACTTGTAGCACTCGGCCGGAACCATACCCAGACCCGGGGAACGCCCATTAGACAGGGACGACAAAGCCGCCTCAACCTCTTCAAGAGTGAACGGACCATTCATAGTGTCGGCCATAGACCGTCTAGCATGCACCGGTTCGGAATCACGCCACGCCGCCCCGACTTGGGAGCCCGCACCGAGATTGATACAGTTGAGAATGGCACAGACACGGGCCTCCTGCACCTCATCGAAGGAGGCTGAGGCATTATAAAGGCGATCGAAGTAGTCCGTCCACTCCGACACGTCTTCCACATTGCATCTGGACGCTGGCTTACCGTTCAGACGTTGCCATAGGGTCTTCGCATCCCGTTTGCATGTAGCTATGAATAACTCCAAGGCTCGCAGCCGGTGATCCCGTCGCGCGTTACGCTTAGCACGATTAAACTGACGACGTAACTCTTGAAAACTCGTATGCCCCATAGCCGGGGCAGCACACCCCCACTTCATCACATCAGACCGATACTGCAA